GTGAGCTAGATAGTCCTTGTCGGATACCTAGAGTGCAAGTATTTCAAGTTGCCGGTTATACATGAAACTGTGTGCTTTAAAAGGCAGCTGAGCCTAGGGTGGGATTGTCATCCTGAGGGACCTGACAAAAGACATGTGTGTTAATAGAAGGCATCTCGTCTCTACACAGAGGTAGATGGAGAAAGATTCTTTTCAGGAAGCAGTTTTGAGCTTGCTGTAGCAAACAGATCACAGAAATTTCTCAAGGCCATAAATCTAGATAAGCAACCCAGAATATACCACTGTGTGAAAGAAACCAATTGACTTGTTTTTGGATCCTAGCTTTGCCAATGACTAGCTTTGTGGCTTTGGGCAAGTGTGTTAATTTCTCTAGCTTTCAGTTTCCTCTTTTGGGAAAAAAAAAAAAAAAAAGGTAATATAAACACTTATCTTGACTACCTTAACAGGTGTGCCTTGGGCAGCAAATGCAATAGCTTTTATGAAAGTTTTGTGAATTGTGCACTTATGTGTAGGAGGAGTTGTCCTCGCTGATAACAGCAAGCAAAGGATAAGAAAATCTGACAGGAAACTAAAACTCCTCTCCGAGGGCTTTGTCCTAGAGTCCTCAGAACCCATCCGACATTTACCATGATATTATCCTTGTTGGACTTTGAAAAGCCTTTAAAACTTTAATCATTGTTCATTACTGGATTTCTATTTAATTGCTGTTTCTGCAGCTAATTTTTGCTTTGAGTTTATTTCCATATCATCTGCAATTAATATTTACAGAATGTTTGCTTAAATATCTTAGAAAACACATGAGACATAATGAAGTAAAGCCCTTCTCTGCAAAAAACATAAAACAGATTTTTTTATATTTATTTTATACTATTTTTGTTTTATGTATTTTAATATCCTCCCTTTATGTAAATAAAGGAAATGTGGATTTAAACACTCTGACCTTTGGTTTCACATAGTTAAATCTTAACCTTCCCTAGGTGGCTCCTTCCATATATGCTTGGAAATGTTTCCAATTTCATTGCTACTTCTTTCATCTTGAAAACCCAGAAAGATTCTTATCATTATTACTTCTTTGTTTTCCATTCCCTGTTATGAATTCCACATCACCAATTCCCTATTCATTGCATTCTTGCACCTCACTGGGTTAATAAATTCTTTTGACACCTACTGCCCCTTCCTTCCCTTGCTATCCCTCCTCCAAGAATGGTGCCCATCAGTATTGCATGCCAGGGGAGTGCAGGTCTGACGGCACCCCAGCGCAGCAGGGAGTCTTCTCCCTTCTGTTCCAACTCAGTGATGAGAAGAATCCCTCCTCCTCCTGCCTCAAGCACCCGCTGCTAACAGCAGACTGAGAGACAGATGTTTCCAATCCCCAACTCTATTGCAAAGACCACTTGAAATGGATTCCACTTTACTCTCTTTCTTTAAAAGTTTAATGCTCGTTCTCAAGGTACACTTGTAACTAAAAGGTAAGGGTAGCGCTCAGGAAAATGCAGCCATTGCTTTTTTTTGCCCCGGTAGGAAAAGTAGAATTAAACAAGAGTATAGTTACTGTTTAAGGCAGATAGTGTAATATCAACTATGGCACAATGAAAGCAAGACTTCACTCATGTTCTAAGAGAATGAATTTCAGACTGGAACAAAGGAGGACAAATTGCGTTAAGGGGAAATGAAAACCAAAAGGGGATAGTAATGAGTTCTCAAGCTGCCACTCACCTTATAATTCCAAATATAAGTACATTTCCAAGTACTTTGATAACTTTAGATTTAATAAAACTATGTTATTATTCAGTGGGAATGGAGATGATATTAAATGACTAAAAAGAGATAATTTAAAAAAAAATTTTTCTGAATAGGAGGAAAAGAAAGTCACGGGTTGGGAGATTCTAGTGAAATTTTAGAATAAAAGAAGAAGCACTGATAGCCAAGTTTTACTAAGGGGAAAATATGCCAAATTTTAACTGAGTTCTTAGAACTGATGATAATAATCACCAAGAACTTAGGAATTTCTAAGATTTGACCTTACTTGTGACCTACCAAGTTGGCTGCCACAGTTTTGTAGATGCTGATAAATGACACAAGACTCCTGAGTCAGAGACAAAGGATACTTTATTGCTCACAGCAATAGCACTATCTAAAGTATTTCCATTTTTGTGCCAGTTTCCCAGGTTCTGAAAGGGTGATGTAAAGACAGTCAGAGGACATCTACACACTCAGTGGTTCCATTCCAGGAATATACCATTGAGTTTAGGGAACCTGAGGGTTTTATAATGGGAGGTAGACATGTCTGCCATTTGCTCCAGAGGTAAGCACTATCTTTATCTTCCAAGGAGATTGCTATACAGTTGTCTTGAAAAGACAGTCGGGACCATGCAGAAACATGAGAGATCCGTGGAGAATAGTTTTCCAACAATAGTAAAAAAATAATAACTGCTTCTATCATTCACTGAGTGTTAAGTGAGGGTAAGCCATAGATAGAAGCTAACTTCTAGATTATGTAGTATTTATATATTAACCATAGATGAAGACTAGAGGAAAATGCATTTCAAGTGACTGTGGCGATTGTAAAGGAATTTGATATGACCTTTGTAATATCCATGTGAATGAAATGGAAAGATATGAACTGGACAATGTACATTTTAATGGGTTTATGTTTGACTGAACTAAACTCAAAGTATTGATGTCAGACTAGAGAGAGGTTTCAAGTAGTGCCCTTGAAAAGGTCTCTGTCTTTGCCCTGTTCTTGTATTACAGTGTTATCAGTGATTGGAATGAGAACATAAATGGCAGGCATATCAAATTTATGGAAGATAAAAGACTAGAAGAGATAGCCAATATATGGAGGAAAGACATAGCATTAAGAAATAGATGACCTGAAAAATTTCCTAAAACAATTAAAGTGAAATTAGATGGCTAAATATAAATTTCTCTATATAGGTTCAAAAGCCATCATTGCAACCACAGACCTATAAAGAGAGACTAAGAGCCTTTCATGTTAGGAATACATAGTGGTTAGCTTTAACAAATTACTTAACCTTCTTGGGGCTTCATTGCATCCTCTTATAAAGGACATGTTTAACCATGTTATCTCTTATCTTCCCATCTAACTCAATTCTGCTAAATAATACATATAAATAATTGAGAATAATCTAAGGCAACAATTTTGTGAGGCACTGATATAACTACATATCCCAAAGAAGAGAAAACAGTTGTCCCCCTATACTGTATACCTGAGAACAGTCAGCCTTCTGTATCTGTGAGTTCTATATCTGCAGATTCAACCAACCTTGGATCAATAATATTTGGAAAAAACAATTTTTTCCAGGAAGTTCCAAAAACCAGAACTTTAATTTGCAGCACACTGGCAACTATTTACATAGCATTTACGTTGTATTAGGTATCATAAGTAATCTAGATATGATTTAAAGTATGTGGGAGGATGTGCATAGATTATATTCCATTTTATATAATGGTTATATAATTTTTTGGTTATAAATGGTTATAAAAATTTTATAATGGTTATATAATTTTTATATAATGGTTATATGCCATTTTATATAATACTGTGCCCTTTTATATAGGGAACTTGAACCTCCAGGGATTTTGGTGTCTGCCGGGGGGGTCCTTGGAACCAATCTTCCATGGATACTAAGGGGTGACTGTCTTACACTCATTTCAAGATGCCTCACTCTAGGGAAGACAGTGAAACACTGACAGACATCTCTATGAAAATAAAGATAGAATTATAGGGAGAGATCAAGAAACCATGCTTTTCTAGTTGAAATTGCAAAAATTGAGGAGCTTTCATCTGGAAGAAGATGACGTTTTAGAGATACCATAATAATCTCTAAGTGCTTGAGAGGCTCTTTCATGCCAAAGTGGAGAGAAAGCCGGTCAGGATATGTGGAGAGAAGTGTCAGGAAGACAGATTGTATTCATTCTAAGTATTGAGTTGATAATAGATGAGTTGACCCCTCAGTAGTAGTGGACTGCAATTTTGGATGAGTTTAAAGCACTAACCACATGTCAGCATCTTGTAGAGAAGCTCTGTGCTTGTTGGCCCTGAGGGCCCTTCCTCCTCTAAAATTTTGTGAGTCCAGGATTTCTTAACTCATACTATTCTGACAACATAGTTGTATGGTTTTTGCAAAGACATTGGTTTTAGTCCCAGCACCAGTGCTTGTTAGTTGTGAGACTTGGGGCAAATCCACTCAACACTTTGGGGCTACTTCCTCACATGTCAACTGACAGCTTGGGTTAATTTATTCACTGGCTGTTGGTTACAATCTTATTGGGGGAAAAAAATAAGGCAATTAAAAAAAAAAACATGTAAAAATAAAGAATTTGGATCTTTGAAGTTCGTTCCACCCAAATTCTCAGAGTATGAAGTATACATGTAGAGAAACATCATTTTAAATTGCTATAGAAATACAGTTCTACATTCTTTCTTGGTCATGTTTGAAAAAAATGAATCTGCTATACTAGCCTGAATTATTCCTGAAAGTCATTTGGAAGAAGTTTAGCTCGAGGGCGTCCTTATTCTAAAGTGATTTTTTTTAAGTGTTTTTCAAGTTAGGTCCTAAAAACACGAAAGTATGTAAAACTCTGTGAAATGACTGGCAAGTATTATCAGAAAAGATGCTTATGTAACTTCATAAGGACCCTGATCCTTCTCATTCCATCCTGAAAGTATCAGTACATGAATTCAGAGGAAATTAGCAAAGGCAGACCTGTGTCTGAAGGGAGGGATCAAAGATATGCAGGCAGATTCACTATTATTAGAGAGACCTCAAGTCCTGCAATATCAAAGTCTTGGTATAAAGTGCATGTCTTCCCATTTAATTCTGCCTCAACCCCACCACTGCCCCCTGCCCCCGACAAAAAAAAAAAAAACTCCAAGAAGAAGCTATTTGTGCAACTTTAGATCTGAAATCTCAGTGAGTACGTAGTACATAAATACTATGGAACTTGCATGACGCAGATCTCTCCTCTCTCCCCAGGCCGCCCGTGGAGGACTCTCAGACACTCTTGGCCCCTGTGGTGAGCTGTGGGCCTCCAGGAGCTCTGCTGACCCGCCCTGTCATCCTCACTATGCATCACTGCGCAGATCCCAATACCGAGGACTGGAAGATACAGCTCAAGAACCAGGCAGCACAGGGACAGTGGGAGGTGAGCTTCTGTTGGGATAAAGATAGAACCCAGGAGCAATCCATGCAGATAAGCAAGGGCAATTATGGGAAGGCTTTTATTTTTAAAGCAACGCATGAGTGGAATTTTAGCTTATACTCAAATGAAAGAGAGAGGAACAGAGAGAGGAAGACAAAGAGGGGAGAGGGGGAGACAGACAGACACTGGTTCCTGAGTGTTTTATCTACTGACTGATAGGCACAAAGAAAAAGATGGTCAAGCATTAGCTAACTCATAGGGAAAGTGTACTTAAGAGTCTTACATAAGTCCCATTTGCATATGCATACTATCTTGGGAAGGGAAACTATATATATATATATATATATATATTTTTTATTATTATTTTAATTTTCAGGTAGAGAAGCATTGCACCTGGGTCAGAAAATGTTAGACACTTACTTGCTAACAGGTCCCAGGAATATAGGTCTGAACTTAACCTGGCAAAACAGGAAGGGTGTATCCTAAGCTCCAGTACAATGAAGAACTTCTTTGGCAACTTGACTCTCTGTAACTGCTGCCATCAGAACTTCTTAAGGACAGTGCCTTAAACAGATCCTGTTCTTTCCATCAGAACCCTGCAGTTAGCACCTGAAATTAAATGCAAAAGGATTTGTTATATTTACCATGAATATTTTATGCCTAATACCTAAAAAAAAAGATTTGTGTAGTCATTATAAAGAGAATTATCCAATATGCATGTTGGATATATTTTGTGATTACTTACAGTATTTTTCTATTTTTTTAAATTTATTTATTTATTTTGGCTGCATTGGGTCTTCATTGCTGTGCGCGGGCTTTCTCTGGTTGCGGAGAGGCGGGGGCTACTCTTGGTTGCGGTGCACAGGCTTCTCATTGCTGTGGCTTCTCATTGCTGTGGCTTCTCTTGTTGCAGAGCACGGGCTTCAGTAGTTGTGGCTCGCGGGCTCTAGAGCTCAGGCTCAGTAGTTGTGGCCCATGGGCTTAGTTGCTCCGTGGCATGTGGGGTCTTCCCGGACCAGAGCTCGAACCCATGTCCCCTGCATTGGCAGGCAGATTCTTAACCACTGCGCCACCAGGCAAGTCCCTCAGTATTTTTCTTTTAGGAAAAAAAAATATGCATGAAGACTCAAACCCCTAATATTTTAGGAAAAAGTAGTAGTGGAGGTAGAAGCATAGCAGGGCGTACCTGGGATTACCTGGAGTGTCCTCTCTATATGGATGTGCTCTCCTCTTGACCACATGAAAGTGAAGGGTCACTCATTGCCAGAGGTCCTGGATTGAAGTCTAGGGCTATACATTACGTTAAGAGTGGACTTTACCAGATCTAACTTCAATTCCATTTAAGTTTAAATGATTTATCTCAAAAACATCCCAAAGTCTTTATCTCAAGGGATCCTAAATTGTTTGCACAATTCTCTGCCTATTACCCTAATACCCTATTTCTGGATTTGAGTAATAACAACAATAACAACAATAATAAGAGGAAAAGAAAAAAATAGATGTGAAGAGTAGAAGAAGGAAGTCCTTATGAAAACACTCTTCTGTCTTTGACAGGAACATGGAGCATCTTTATTCTCCACCATTTCTTCTAGGAGATTTTTTGTAACATGCCATCAGGAAATGACACTCGAGCCTTGCCCTTGCCGTGCTGGAGAAAGCAGCTTCTCTCCAGGTGTCCTTTTGGGGCTGGAATAAACGTGGAAGTGCTGAGCTCCTTTTTCTCCTTTCCAGTTCAGTTTAAGCTTTATCTTTGGGTACAGGTTTAGCTGAAGAAATGATTTCATGGATGCTGTTAAAACACAGTCCTTACTTTAGCCTGGATGATGTTGCATGGCCTAACTAAAACAGCTACCTGAGTTGGCTCCTTTCATAGCTTTGTCCAGCCCCAGGGACTCAATTTATGATGAAACATTTGTTCATGTTTTTGACAAATAACCATTTTTTCACCATGATCCAGGCCCACTGAGATACAGTATGAAGCAAAGGAGCTATGGTTGCTGCCTCTGCAGAGATTAAGTAACCTAATGCAGAGGCTGAATCATGCCCACACATGGGTTTTATTTCTCCCAAATGAAATTTTCTTTTAAATTTGAATTAGTTAAAAGTTGGAAGATTTCACATAATAATCTGAACTTACAGCTTCTCTTGAAAAACTAAAGGCTGTGTGCTCACTGGTCCTGCATTCCTGCCATGCCTGGTACTTTTACTGTAAGCATCTTTGCCATAGACATCTTTGCCACAAGCATTTTTGCCACATAACTAATTGGCCTTAAGGTAATTTTGCTGTAAAAGATAAAATAACTGGTGCACAGTTTGGTTTCATCTCTCCACTGACACGGTACTACCATTTTTATATTACATAAATCTGAAAGAGGCCAACGGCCAAAAAGACACAGTCGAGCCCACATGTCCCATAGAACTTTGGAACATCTGTCAAGGGACATGTAACAATATGTACCAAGAACAAACAACAGTGTAGAGGCTTTCACACCATAATACAAAGCTCAGTTATAAATATGCATCTCAGTATGTGGAAACTGATACCCCTCTTAATGAAGAAGAAATTTTAGCAAAAAAAGAAAAGTGGAATGCCAAATGAGGAGCTGAATCAACAAGCAAAAATATGTATAATACTACAAATGAAAGACTTTGAAGACAAGTGCTTAGGTACAACCCACTAAATAAAATCATTTGTTTGCACGGTACTGCCATGAATATATACACATTTCAAATGTCTCTGAATATTTTGTAGTTCATAATAAAGTCTTTTTACTTTTGTTATTCATTTTTCATGTTTTTTTTATTTTTGTTAATGTCCCTCTTTTATTTATTGCTGTTTCATCTTTTACAGTAAAATTGCTTTACAGCCAATCAGTTGTGTGGCAAAAATGCTTACGGCAAAGATGCTTACAGTTAGAGTACTGAGAGCCCATCCCTGCATGGCCGCAATGGCTGAAGCCAAGCGGAGACTGAGCTCTTTAGACAGGCTTGTGCTCTGCTTCACCACAGTCTCCACCACTCCTTATTACCTTCTGCCCTACCTGCTTCACACATTCCTGTTACCGTTCTGCCCTGGGAGGCATGTGGAATTGTGACCCTTGTTTTATGGATTCTATGCTTGGTCTTTCAGATGATTTCTTCTGTGGCCTGAGTCATTTGGTTAAATCAAAACCTAGTTAAGTTAGTAACTATTTTTCTAAAACTCATCAGTTTCACTTATTTTTATTTCTTGCTGAATGTTAACAATCTAAAACGTGAGACTGCTTAAAGGCTTACATGAAAAATAAACAGAAAAATAATGTGTCAAATGCATAGAGTTTGCCATGCTGTGCTTTTAGCAAAGTCCAAGAGCCCAGATTATGAGGAAAAGCAGTGTATTGCTTTGGAAAGTAATTGATGGGTGAGTTTGGAAGAACTTAGTAGAATGGTATTGCATAATTTTTTAATTTCCTAATTCTTTTTAAAAAATTCTTTTCAAACCCCTAGATTTTCAGGGGAAAATACTATGCTAAAATGACATTGAAATAAGATAGTACTTTTGTATGAAATTAGCAATTTAGAGATTAAAGCAAATTATCAGAAACAGATAATCAACTCAAATATGCTGAAGTTAAAAGGATAACTTATACATTTCTTTTGGAATTTTAGGTAGATTCCAGCAATGTAGATTCCTAGAAGATCAAAAAAGACTAAATGAAGATCTTCTAAATAAAGCATGTTATCAGCATAAAGGCAAGGGAAGTGAGGGAGAGAACGATTAAGAATGGAAATATTGATAGAAGTATAATAAAGTCAGAGAAGAGCAGGAAATGGAATAATCAGAACTCGGGAGGAGTCCTGATCTGTGCACCCCTGTTGGCCACCGTCATGGCAGCCAGGAGGCTCAGTCGCTGCCCCTTCCTTCTCGTCCCCCAGGATGTGGTGGTGGTCGGAGAGGAAAACTTCACCACCCCCTGCTACATTCAGCTGGACGCAGAGGCCTGCCACCTCCTCTCCGAGAACCTTGGCACCTTCGCCCTGGTTGGGCAGTCCACCACCAAAGCAGCCGCCAAGCGCCTGAAGCTGGCCATCTTCGGGCCACTCTGCTGCTCCTCTCTGGAGTACAGCCTCCGAGTCTACTGTCTGGATGACACTCAGGATGCCCTGAAGGTAAGTGACTCTAGCCTCACCCACCCACCTCACACCTAGAGACGATATGTGTTATGTACATGTGCACCCGAGTGCATGAACACAAGTGTCTGGCCCCAGAACATGGCAGTTACAAAAACAAATTAGACATTTCTTGAAGCCATGCTGATAAATAAGCTGTTTCCATTATGCTAATTCCTCCCGAGGGCTACTTTTGTTTACCCTCCTTGGTTTCTTTTAATGAGAAATTTAGAAGTGGAAGAATTTGGCAACGAGACCTGTGGATGGTAAATAATCTGCTTCCTTGTTTATCTCAGCTGTGTTCTTCCTATAAAAGGAACTGGCATAATTGCTCACACTCTATGTTCCTCTTGTGTGCAACTTCCTTATATGCTCTCCCATTCTTTTTATGAGGACCGTGAGGAAGAGGGTTAGCATTTGACAACGGGCTGCTGCTTTACCGAATAAATAGGCTTAATTCTCGGTGCTATTATTGCCATTCATTTTCTCCCATTTGAAGCTTTAAAGGAGATAGTAAGTGCCTCTGAAGAAGTTATGATCTGGAAAGAGGAATAAAAGAAGTATGCAAAGGATTACGAAGCAAGTCAGAGCGTGATACATGCCGTAGATGAATGCAGAGCTCTGTGGGAATTCAGGAGAAGGAGGCATCATATTATTTTGAGAAAATCTGAAAAGGAGCTAACATTTGAGATTGACCTTAAAGGGAGGCAGGGTCTGACCAACAATAATGGGGAAAAAAATACAGGATTTCTGGGTGAAGGGAACAGCATGAAGAAGCACAAAGGGAACAGTAAATACAGATTCTACGTGGCATGTTATTTCCAGAAAGCCTAGAATGATTGATAGGAGTTTTTGGGGGATGGACCTTGACAACCAGAGAGAGGAGTGGAGATTCAGTTTCTTGAGTTAATGGAGAACCACTAGAGAGATGTAACTAGAAGATAGACATGACTGGAAATACATGTTAGAAATACCAGTCTGCTGTCAGTGAAAAGATAGAATCGAGTCAAGAAAAGCATGGTAGAGCTGGAGTGAAGACAGAGGAGTTAGAGGAAAGGAATAGGTACGAAAGGCCCTATTAAGTAACTCTTGCAGGCCCTGGTGACTAACCTGGAATGGGTGGAGCAGAAGATCAAGTCTGCCTCCAAGTAACAGTAGCAAACTCAGGAGCAGGTAGCTCTGGACTGTGGATATGGTGACTTTGTCTTTGGAATATTGAATTAGAGGTATGGATTAGACATCAGGACAAAGGTGCCCCATGGACAGTTAGAAATATAGGGGTGGCTCTTTGAACAGAGAGCAGTTCCTGAGACAGAGACTCAGGAACCAACTATATAATATTGATATTTGTCCTCCATGGTGATTGAGGAGAATATCAAGGGAGAGTAGAGGGAGAAAATAATAATAAAGCTAATAAACATCACTGAGAATTTCTTATGTGCCGGGCAAGATTCTAAGTATCTTTTCTTAACTCATTGAATCTTTACAACAACCTGTAGGACACCATTATCCCTATTTTACAGATGTGCAGGGCACAGAAAGTTTAAGTAAGTTGCTCTAGGCCACACAGCTGCTAAGTGGAGAAAACAGGCTTCATTCCCCGGGCAGCTGGCTGCAGTCTGGACTCTGCTCCTAAGGCGCGCTGCTCAGAGAGCCACACCCTAGAGCACAGGGACCGGGGGAGCCCTGCCATTGCAAGGGAGGAGGGGGGCAGCCAGCAAAAGAGCTACAGAAAGAGGAGTACGCAGAGGAGGAAGGGGAGAAGTAGGAGAAAGATGCATCTAGGAAGCCAAGAGAAGAATTCTTTTTTTTTTTTCTGAAATTCAGGGTATATTTCCTTCTGGAGTTTCCATCCAGAGAATAGTTCTGGGTCATGAAAACGGAGTGTTGCAGGTTGTGTCCATGGAGGAGATGAGACATATTCGGTCCCTGGGTATATTTTTGATGGTTGAGCCTGTAGGAGTTTCTGATGTTAAATAAATGATGCGAACACACAGCTCTAGTGAAAAGCTTAAGGTTATTTCTTTTGTATTCCTTGCATATGCGATACTGTTAAGGCACTGTCTGGATAGAAATCATTGTAGGCTTAAATCCTTCTTAGGAAAAACTGTATTTGTAGGCGAGCCATGGGGTCTGATTAAGGCAAATCTTCTTAATAATTCAAAGAAAAATCATTGCAGAAATCATCTGTAGAAGATCTACATCATATTTGAAATAATCTGAGACACATTTTATATTCACACAAATAGTTCTTATATTCAGTCACTCTCGACCTTTCTTCTCGACAGACATACAATCCATGCAAAAAAAGTACTATTTCATAAAATAATTTTGATTATGTTAATTAGTGAAAAGAGATGAGAAAGACTGACAAACAGGTTTAAGAAGTAAGAACAACCCAAGAGCAGTTTATATCATGGTCAGTGCTTTCCAAATAGACATATATAAATTCTCAGCATCTGGGGATCCAGCACTTAGCCTGAAAGAAACATGAATAATGGATAAGGCTTTCTTGTACCTCATGATCATTTAATAACGCAGAAATACCAAAATCCTAGTTACAGGTAAACCAACATACTGAAGAGACAGCTCAGTCCAGCCAAAACTGCCTCATGCCCATGCTCGAATTGGAACTTTGGGGCCGATTAACTCAGAAAGGCCCTTCATTACCTAAATTCTGCCTTGGCACCTCGTTTGCAAATGCTTCCGCCAGCCTCTCTCCCATCGCCCTGCTCCTCTAATTTACCCATAAATACTGTCTTTTGTGTCTCTTCTCCAAATACCTCTGCCTTCAGGCCCACCCCACTCCTCACTTATGCTCGTCCTAAATCCTAAATAATAATTCTCTATCCAGTGCACATAGGAGTCAGTTGGGAAGCTTTAAAAAGAGACTTCTTTGAGGGTCCCAACCCAAAGGTTCTGATCTGATCAGTGTAGGTATTAGGTTTGGTTTTTTGTTTGTTTGAGCACTGCCTGGGTTATTCTACTGTGCAACCGAGGTTAAGATCTATTATACTAAACAATTTCAGGGGTCTTTTGGGAACTTTAATCCTACTTAGGACAAACTTTCCTGTATCCTCAAATCATTTTCTCAACCATTCCTTCACCTGCTCACATTAACTGCAGCTGGATCTCCCAACTAACATGTATCACTTACAGTCCCTGCAGTGAGGACCACACCCCTAACCAACCACAAGGCCAAGAGGAAAAGTTCCAATACGTCTCATATCCCTGACCACTTCTGGGGCATCGCTCTACTTCTGGGCTGGCCTTTTAGTTTGTTTTTCTTTATTCTGTTACTCTGTGATCCATTACCCACTTCAGTTCCTCAGCACAGAGTCCCCTTAGTACAAATCTCCACCCTAGCAGTACCTGCCTCGTGGTCTTTCTTGCCCCTCCTTTTATTCCCCTCATCCTCTCAAATTCAAAGTCACCTCTTATTCACAGTTCCTTTGCCCAAATGTATTCTAGTAACCTTTACATCATTCTTCATTATCTACCCACTAGTGTAGATGTACTGCATCCTCAGTAGGAACTGCACCAAGATCTCCACCAGCCAAGGTCTCTACCTGTGAAAGCATCTGACCTTCCATCTCTCTCCCACAAGGTGCACGTAAGCTGCTCTTTGTTTTTAAGGAAGACCTCCGTCAACTGTCCCTGGTCTCCTGGTCCACAAACCTTCATCTGCTCTTACCCATATCTACAGGGAACTCACTTCCACTCAGAAATCTCTTGCCACCTAAAGCTGCTGCAGGCTTTTCTAATTTCCATAGCTACATATGACCTCCACTGAACAAGCCCTCTATGTCTGCTTGCAGCCTGTTGAGCTTCTCTAAAAAAATCATAAATTCCTGATTGAGTCCATTATACTCTCAAGACATCTGCCCTAAGCTGTGGCTCTCTCCTGCTTCTCCACAGTCCTTTTATGTATTTCTCCTTGACTCATGAGCTTTCACACAGCACTCCTTCCGAGCCTCTCCCACTCTCCCCAAATCCCTGATGGTACCGCAGCCCCTTCATGTGTGCAATGAACTAACACCTGTGGTACCACTCAAGGAACACTCCCTCAGCTGCTGTCCTTTACCTTTCAAATCTTTTATTTCAGCCTCTTCTCACCTAGTCTGGGCTCTGATGAAAAGGAGCTCGACTTCCTTGTTTGGGCTTTAATCTAACGCCTCCACCACCTGTGTCTCCAGCTAGCAAGTGATGCCTGCAAGTGGGCCTTCCCAGACTTGATGTTTTCTTAGAGTTACTGCTGCGAACTGGGGATTCTTTCTGAATTGCAGAAACCCTCACAGAAGGTTGGACGAGGGCAGAGAGGGAAGCTCAGTGCAGCACTCACTCTCGGGGGTCAGAACTACACAGTCTGGAGAGCTATTAGAAAAAAGACTGGCCCAGTGTCCGGATCTGAACATATTGATAATATTAATTCCCACTTACTATCTTACTGTCCATGTGGATGGGGAAAAAAAAGATACCACATCAGTCAGTCTCAGCAACCCTGATGCATCCTTTCATCTTCCCACCCACCTCTTGGAGTTTGGTAGCTTTTGTAACAGTTTCCCTGAGTTTTGTTAAACCTGGAAGCAAAAGTGGTCATCTGAAACCTAAAAGCTGTATTTAGCAATGTGGAAGCATTAGTGCTGAATTAGAATGCTGGCAGTGACTGCTGGAGTAAAAGTCAAGGCTGCCAGGAGACAGTGGAATTCTTTTACATACCTTTCAGGTGTTTTGTTTGTTTGTTTGTTTCCATGCATGTGCTAGAAGGACCAGTGAGAGCAGTGTGTGAGTTGAGTTCATATAAAGGGATAAAGGTGCTATGAATTGTGAGAATACCTTAGAATCAGTTCCATTCTCAAATAAAGAGGTCACATCTATTGAAAGGATTGAGTTGGGTAGGTCACAGCTTTTCTTGTTACCTCCTCTTCAGGTGATTAAAGTAGTATTGTTTTTTTCCTTTCGCTGTTTGCAATGACTTAAGTCCTAATATAAATAGACCA